TAAAAAACATTTTATTGGAGAGGACGATAAGAACTGTAACAGTTAACTATTTTATTTCTGTACACAATATATCGAGTAAAATCAATCGCTCTTTTTTTTTTGCTAGGTTTTTATCTTGGCACTTTCTCGTGCAACAATCTATTCTGATAAAAAGATTTACTTTTTGATAGTTCGATCCGCAAATATGATCAAAACGTAGAGTGAAAAAGACTTTTAAATGTAACCCTTTGTTTTTTTTCAAATTTATTATAGATTCCGAACGGTCTACTGGGCTTTAGTTTCACAATTTCTGGCTAAACTGCCATAGTTGCAAGGCGCACTCATAGGATATCCGTGACGAAATTTTTCCAAAAAAAATTAAATAGGCGAAACCAATCAGAAAAGACATTGTTTTTTGCTGTGAATCCGCTGAAGCATAACGATGATGGGAAATTGCAGAAGAATGATTTAGAATGGAACTGATACAATTTACACTTGAGCATTAATTTCCATTGACTAATTGGCGCCAGATATCTCAATAATACAAGGGTGCTCTTTAAACTGCACTCAGTTTGGAAAGTCACCTGAAATTGACGTATAACTGCTAAATTAAAGAATTTCTGTGCCATCATTTTTATAAGGGCTGAAAGGGGATAAACTTTTGTCGATATAAAAGTATTTGCAGAAGGAGTGAAAGTCTAAAGGGGTTAGGTGAGCTTCATCTGTTCTTTATAACCGGTCTTTTATGCCAGAGCAGTTTCAATTGTACACTGTTAACCACTTGAACAGCAAAGCATAAATTAGGCAGCAGGGGCAAAAAGATTTGTCCTGCTTTTTGGGGTTCCACTAAACTATAAAATTTTCTAATTCTGTTTTTTTAGAAATGGAACTCTGAGTAAGATTAAAAAAGATTTAAAATTAGCATAAGGTAGCTGTGCCAGCGCAACAGCAGTTAAGCAATCGACTGTCGCTGTTGCTCAAAGTCAATAATCTTGTTTCATTCGCACGACCCTCTTCCTAATTTGTTCCAAATCATTTCATATGTTCATGATCAAATGATTGTGCTTCGATGAACGGACTTGTACGCTTCATTGAAAAGAACATTCAATTTTTACTTTCCTAAGGAACGCAATTCGTTAGTTAGGATAGAGAGCAGCAAAAACAATTGTTACAGGATACATATAACTTGAAATACAAATAAATAATAAAGGAGCAGCTAAGGTTTTGATAATCAACAAGCAACAATCATTACGATAATAAAAAACAATCGTTTGTTGGCTACTTTTCTGAAACAGACAAATCTAATAATAAAATGGTGAACCGAAAGAAAATTTAAATTTTATTTAATAATTTGATAGGAGGGTTCATTTTACTGCTTTCTACCCAGCCACACTAAATAAATGTTAAAAGTTGAAATTTAAGTAAAAATCCTGTCTTTGCTTCTCGATACTACGCTAACCTTTTCTGTCAACAATTAAAATTTCGATATCTGTGGTATACACTTTAGAAGGCATTTTTTGTACAGATATTTATCAATTTTTTCCCCCTAACTTAAAAACTCTAATCAACCTATGGAGATCTTTGAACAGGACAAAGATATAAAACAACAAGAGAAGCAGCTCTGTACAAATAAATTTTTAATTTTTAACTCATTTTTTACAGATCAGTAAAGTAAAATAAGAGAAAAAGAATTTTAATTACAGCACCAATCATTCAGCTGGTTTTGATTATTTTTTTTTTTTAAGTTAATTTTCCTCACCAGTGAATCATGCACTTTTGTCGCTCTGGGTCATTTAGTAAATTTTTGCCTAGATATGCTAGACGACGAAACAGACTTGATAGCTGAAAAAAATCCTATACTCTATTTCCTAGCCCCGTAACTTGACAATGGGTTCTGTTTATCTGGTTCAGAAAATTTTAAAGTATTTCAAATCAACGCCTGCACAACTGCATCACGGCATTTTTATCGTTTTCTGAACAGTAGGTGCAAATCAATAAGTGATATAACTGTAACTCATGCCTCACATTCACTGTCTAACCATTCACTCTTCAACCTGTGAACCTTTTTTTGGAACTTTTTCAGGTTTCAGGCAATTTTCAATTATAAAAAAAAAAAATTAGAGTGATGAAAAATTAGTCGCAACTACGTTTTTTTTTTTTTTTTTGGTGATATACTCGTGACTGATCATGATCCAAATAAAACAATGATAAAAAGCAATCAATTTTTTTTTTTTTTGCAGTGATCATTCAAATATTTGTCCATTGGTCCCGCAGCTTCAAACTGCATCCACCCAATTCAAAAAAACTACACCATTCAATTTAACTTTTCTTTGCCTTTTACTACTTTTTTAATGCAAACGTAACAAATTTGTCAATGAAAAAAATGATATACCTTTACGTCTGAATGTTATATAATTGCGAGAAAAAATGGCCAACAGTAAACAACGTTTATGCTGTAAACTAAAATAAAATCTGAAATGGATAATCACTGCAGCAGCCAGAAGTCACTATAAAGCCTAAAAGTATTTTAGAAACATTAATGTTTGAAACAACTTTAAATTTTTTCAAATAAAACTGCCAATCGAAAACCATAAATTTTTGCTTCCACACTGGTTCAGTATGTTTTCCAAAGGTTCAAATTCACCAACAGTTAACGCTGTTACGAGGGAATTAGATGTGAGCAAGAAAATGTACCATAATGGGTTTACCAGAAAGTATTTTCTGAGTACAACAGTCAATTATGAAAATCCCGACAAACGTTTACTGAAAAAGACCAAACCTAGAAGTGCTCCCACGTACTTTCCGACGCTTTCCGGCAAAAATACAGGAAGGAGATCGTAAGGTTTAAATAGTCGATAATGTAGCCGATTATTATGTAATATTACGAATATTAAGAATTTGTATGAACATACGTAAACCAATACCTGTTAACAGTTTCAAGGCCTTTCCGATTTCGAAAACTCAAAACAGGCAAAACTAAGATCTCAGGAAGCTGTCAAAAAAAGTTTAAACACAATTATTGAGCTGGCACCACATGTTGCAACAACCTCAAGGCAACTATATCGGTGTGACAAAGTGACGTCATTCTGCAAGCATCTTCCAAATTTGCATCAAAAAAAATTGGCATGTTTACAACAAGGTACGTTATCATTGGCACAACGCCAGTTGTTATAAATTGTATTGCATTTTCCGTTTATTCTCTCTTCCTATCCCCTTACTTCCTCCTACACCTTCTCTGCAAAATTTTTTCATTTTGCGAAGTGGCATTAACTTGCGGTTGGCTATATAAACAAATTACTCTCTCTGTCTCTCTCTGTTGTACCTCGGATTGATTTAGAAAACCGGTCGATGCATTTGAACAGTTCTACGCGGTGTTGCAATTGCTAAGAGTTTTTTTTTTCTCCCCTGTTGGCCAATATTCCATGCATTTGCTATGATGTGCTGAGATCGGTTCTCACGATGCACCGTCCGTGATAATTTTCCAATAATGGTTGTAATCTACCGCCAAGGATGTGAATTGGTGGGTGACTCGTTTATTTTTCTCTTTTTAATTATTTAGCACCATTTTAAGATAGACTTTTTCACAGTATATTCCAAGAACAGATTTGTGTAACCTATCCAAAGACACCGCCTTTTTGGAATACTTCTTACACTCTGTGCCGTAATGTTAAATTACAACAAAGAACTGCTACTGTGGAAACCCTTTGCCTAAAATATGATCGAGGAGGCTAATAGGTTTTTTCAACTTCATGATCCGGTTCTAAATGCTGATTTGTGGTTTAAAGCTTCTAATATTCAAATCTGTTTTGTCAGAGGAGGTTTAGGAACGGAATTTATTATCAAAATTCTTTAGAGCAATCGAAATTTTTAAATCCATACAACCTGCGAAGAGAGTCGTGAACAGTATTTAAAAGGAAGGGCTACGAAGAAAATCTGGTTTATTGGTACGGAAATAAAACATTAAACGAATTGCCTTTATGCCTCGCTAGTGCCCACCGTCTTAATGAAAGGCTGAAACCTTTTATGGTGACTAGATCTTCGGTTATTTACTTCTGAGGATCAGAATTAAGCTTTAATGATTACTGATGAACAAATTGGTTTGTTTTGTTCTATTCAGATACTTGTCATGGATATTTTGGCAATGATTACTTTATTTTTTGCGAATTATCATATAATGATATACACTTTGTAGTCCTCATCCCAATGTAGTAGATTAAATATTTCGAGGAATAGCTTTCTTTCTCTTTTGAGTTACTGTGCTTGTTACCCCCATTTGAAAAGCCCTTGTATGAAGTTACGCAAAATATACTTGTCCGAAGATTTTATTTAATTTTTTGCGCTTAACTTCATTTATTGCTGCGTCTCTGTTGGATCTTTTTCGCACTGTGATCAATAATTCATTATGAATGGCGTTTTTGTGAAACCTTATAGTCGCAGGTATACTGCATATGAGCCTACTTATGACTGGATTCTTTGCGCACCAGCCTCTCTTTACTATTTTTAGTAGCAGATCTGGTGGTTGTCGTTTTTCGATTTCACGACTGTTTTTTAGGCGCTTTATATGAGTTCCTTTGCTCTACCAACTTATTTAGTCTCGTGCAGGAATCATCTTGTATGAGCAGTAAAAAAAATTAGAGTAGGCTGTGTTCTTCTTGTGAATTATTTTTTTCCCAAATTCAAAGCAAAATTATTTTTCTGTTTTATTAGCGGTTTTGCAACGTTTGCGCACTAGTTCTCTGGGTTTAGAGGTTTCCTGTCTTCAAGTCGCTGTATGGAATGGATGGTTTATATGATCTTTTGGAACATTAAGAGAAATTGATAATCATTTTCACGACTATTACTCGTTACTTAATCAAGATCGACTTTATGAGGTGGTATTCGCTCGTTAACCGCCTAGTTTTTTTGGTTGCAGTTTTTGTTCTTCTTGTGTCGGTTGTCTCAGAAGATAATGTAGGTCATTTATAGTTATTCTCAACCGTTTGTTTTAAAAATTTTTTCCACTTTTATTTTTCCTTTTCTAGGAGCTTCACACTTCATTTTCAAGCCGTTCTGATGGAATGACATTTATTTCCACCTTAGATGGTTATTTAAGGGCAGTTGATCCTACAACTGGTGTTACGAAGTGGGAACTGAAAGAAGGTTGTCAATTTATTTTTGTAAAAGTGTGCACTTTTTAATCTTTGTTTTGCTAGAAGAAGTGTGCCTTTGTGGATGAGTAATTCGTTGTAATTTTAAACTTACTTATTGTTCTTGTAGAACCTATCCTTAGAGCACCTTCTTCTATCCAAAAACGTTTAACTTTTCTTCCGGATCCACGTGATGGTGCTTTATACATGCTTGTTGATGGCCATTTGAAAAAACTGTCGTATTCCATTCCTGAATTAGTTAATTTTTCGCCTTGTCGTACGTCTGACGGAGTTCTTTATACCGGTATTAGTTTATTCCTATTAGATTAGGTGTAATTCCTTACGAGGTCATCAAATAATTTCATCATTTTAGAGGACGCTTTTAGTTTTCACACATCGAATTACTGCTTGATTGCAGTTTTCTAATACAGTGGCCTAATACGGAATAAGTCATCACTGCGCATAGCTGTTACCTCTAAATTTATAATTTCTTAAGTTAAATCTCTGTATTGTCAAAATGTGTGTTTGTACATATTGTATTGTTTATTTTTCTTATTGTATTATTTAAGGTAGCAAAAAAGATGTTTGGCTTGAAATAAATATGAAGACTGGCGTCAAAGAAAGGGAGCTTTCACATTCTTCAGAAAGCAGTCAGTGCCCAATGAGTACTAGCCAAACAACTTACATCGGGAGGTAATTCTGCATTTTACATCACATAAAACATTTTGCTTTGAAAATGCTTGTTAATTTCTAAGTTGACAAATCAGTTAAACAGTTTTTTTATTGATTGTTCTGAAAGGCATTTCTTGACACCTCTTTTTTAAATAAATTAGCTTTTTGTGATATTTAGGACTGTTTATGAATTAACGATGTTTGACACAGAAAATCGTCAACGAAAGTGGAATGCGACATTTGCAGATTATTCTAGCCATTTGCTAGCTGGTAAGAGATTTCCCATGTTTTTAAAATTGCTTACAGAAACTAGCTGTAACACATTTGTGGTATTAAATTGTTCAGATACATTTCTAGCTTTAAACTTATTTTTTCAGTTTGAGAAAGTTTAGAATTTAGTGTGGTAAAGTGGGCAAAATTTGTGTAACCGTGGTATAATGATTTTGCATGTTTAGCTGCCACGTCTTATCCGTACCAGCACTTTGCTAGTTCTTCTGATGGACATCTTCTAACAGTTGATGCTTCGTCCGGTACTGTTTTATGGGACAGAAATCTAGGCAGTGCCATTGTAGCTATGTATCTTTTGCAAAATGACGGTCTTCATAAACTACCATATACTGTTGTGGGCAAGGAAACAATGGAAGAACTTGCTAAGGTATGTATTTTTCTGTGTTTTATCTTTTTTTGCCGTCTCATATAATTTTTTGTTGGCTTACACCACAAATGAGTTTACTTTAATTAACCTTTTTGTCATCTTTTTGTTTTGTACGCGTAATATCGCATGTATGATTAAATAATCTTTTATTAATTTGTTATTCTCACTCTAAATTTTGTCTCTGCTGATTTTCATTTTAACGGCTAACATTTTTAATTTTTTTCTTCTTTTATTTACTTTTATTTTTTGGTAATGTGGGCAAAGCCTCTTGTATTGGATTGAGAGACAAGGGCCGTAGCTCTTTATTTATAACTGCAGTGTGCATGGAGCCTTAAAAGCGAGTATTGTTTCAATCGATTTCTAGTTTTAAGCCATTTAGTCAGGGACCGTTTTTCTGTTGTAGGTACTACTGTTTTCTGCTTGCTGCTGGTATTAATGGTGATATCAAGTTGATTTTAATCATTGTTTTTTTTTTTGGTTATTGTGAAAGAATGGTGTGAGAAAAATAATCATTTGGTACAACATGTACGAGAGTATTTAAATTATTTATGACTTTTACAGTTTATGTGGAACGATATTTTGAAACAGTTGGAACTTCTAGGAAATAATTCAACAACGCACATTATTTCTTAATGGAACTTTTCAAGGGAATTATTTCTACACCAATTTTTTGTTTATTGGCTGTGCAGTGTACTATCTGCTTATATGACAAGTCTCACAATTATCAACAACAATGACATAAAAAAGAAACTGAGAGAAAAAAAAAGAAATATCACATGTTTGGAATGCATGACGGAAGCATTTTGAGGTTTTCTTGGTTGCCGTGAACGCATTTTATTTGAAAAGTTGAGGCAGCGGTTCAGATTTCGTCGCGCTAGATGATTGCTTCCGTCTGCGAGCAGTATACAGAAACCCGTATTTTTTGATTGTTTACGTGTTCTGCCCCTGTGACTGCTTGCCTTGTCTGCCGTTTCTGGAAAGCAATTACTCCAACGTGTGATTCATTTGAATCGCAAACCTTTTCTTCATTGCGCTGTAATATTTAAGTGCTAGCTAATTGCTTTGTGTCTTTTCGATTTCATCCTTGCGCGACTCTCATCTGATGCTTCTTCCTCTTCATCTTCATCTTCATCATCATACTCGTAATTGTAGCTTTCTCTCCTCCGGACGAGATAGCCGTGTTCAGGGCATAGTGCCTTCATGTACTGGAAAAGAAATAATTTTGGGGTGTTTGGTTGACTCAATAACCACTAGTCTGTTCATGATTTAGAGCATTTTATTTCTGTAGTATTGCCTAGGCTTTTATGATTGCGCCTATGAGAACAAACCTCAATTTTTCCTTCATCATTATAGATGCAGTCGCATGGCAAGTCTTCTCCTGGAGCTATGTAACGTGAATTTTTTCTTTTTATTGAAAGCTCTTCCTCTTCACTTGAATTGCTTAACTCCCTCTCGTCCGCTGTAAATTTATCAGTTTTTTAGGCTTATGTGAATTCCAAATTGTTAAAAGTTTTCTTTAAAGTTATATGACCGACGATGAAAAAAACTAACCTAGTAGAACAGAGTGTTGCGAAAGCCTTTCAAGCGTTGGCGATTTTTGGTCAGACTTTGAATGAGAACTTGTGGAGGCTTTTGAGCTTTTTTTTAGTAAAGATAGAAATGATGGTCGGAGGTTTTGTTGATTGCTACAAAAAACCAAAGTTTGATTTTTGAATAATACTTAGTTTTGAGCTTGTGTCTTTAAGTGTAATGTGTGAGATTTTATCCCATTATATTCAATAATGATTTCCTGATGAAGTCTAACATTTTAGGTGTATCAGTATCTTTTGAGTTTTATATTGTTAAAAAAACCCAATATTTCAGTTTGCCAGTCTTCTGGGAAAAACCCATCTTAAACTTAAATTTATTTTGTTTTGCCTTGCAGTAAACTGTCATATTTCAATTATGTTAGGAATTGTTTTACCTTGCAACCATCTTTTTCTTTCGAACGTAAGCCTGGACCGTATAAACAACAAGCGCAACGATTTCTAGTAAACTTACGACTGAAGCACCTATCCAAAGACCTGTTAAACCGCCAAGGTCTGCTAGAGCACTTGCTAGCTAAGATATGAATTTTAAAGAACAGCAAATAGCAGTATCTTTTAATTGCTATTCTTAAAGAGATATTTTTTGAAAAGTTGTAATTTTTTGTTTAGGGTAAGTTGATTTCAAATTGTGGGAAGTATTGGACAGTTTTCTGATCAACATTCCAAAGGTACAAAATAAGTGAAAATTGACTAACTGTGTATGCTGGAGATTCAGTGAGTGTTTCATAATTAAGCTCTTCATAGAATATTTGGAGCATAGCCGCGTTTTCACGATAACGTTCCAGACATTTTTCATTTCTGGCCTCACATTCCATTACTTTTGCTGTACCGGAGGGCCATCTTGCTGCCGAATAAGTTACTTCATAATTGGTTTCCCTGTTAAGAAATTTTGCCCTTAGTTTAGGCGGTCTCTGATTAAGCATCTCGAAAAACATTGTTTTTTAAATCCAAATTAGAACGTCAGCAGAAATATATTCGATCCTTCTGCGATTACATCATTGAAAGTATATGGTTTTGGGAAGTTCATGTAGGAGTTATTATAGAATGTTGTAAAAAAAGCAAAGTTTGGTGAAGTTTACCTGCATGGCTGGTGGCAAACACAGTTAGGAACGTTTTCTTGAGCTATAAGCTTCCCTAATATTCTTGTTGTGTTTTTGATGCATTCTCTTGCTGTTGGGTCGGTTACAGGACAATAGTTGACGTTTTGAGGCCTAGGATAAGTTGGGTCAGCACATCCACATAAGCGCACTACTTCTTTTTGGGTGCAACTTCTGTGACAGCCCTAAAATATTTTTGTGTATATGAAATATCGTTACGGAGAAGACAGAATCTATCATTAGCTAAAACCTAGTCTATCAGAATATTTTTTATTTTTTAACCTCTACAGAGTAGTTGAATTCTTTGTAAAGGAAATCTGGTGAGTCTTCACCACCTTCCATGCACTGTCCATGTGGGGCTGGAATTCTGTTGAATTGCTTCTGGAAACAACATTTATACTTATAACGCTTAGAAGGCATTCAATCGGTAATCTGATGGAACAAAAGCAGGTTTACCATTCTTACACCGAAAGAGGATAAGCTGCCAGTGGGAGCGCTGTAACCGAAAGCGTCTGGGAAGGGTACATTCCATTTGTCGTGGATAGTTATTCGAAATCCTACTGATTCCGAGGTTGGCAAATATTCTTGCACATTAGCGTAAAGTAGAACCCTTAGCCCTAAAATTGTTATGTCTGAAAATATGTCGCTGCGGTAATTGAGTAATTGGAATAATCATTTTTTGTTAAAAAAGTGGTTAGTTTCTTCGTATTTAAAATTTAACCATAATTGGCTCCAGCACGATGGGCTGTTACTGCTTTCGTCCTATTCCAGTTAAAAGTAAAACAATTCCCATACGTGTGATCATAATATTTAGTGAAGTCTCTAAAAACAGTTTTTTTCTTGCATTAGATGTAGGTTAAATTAATTCAGCTATAGTATTACATTGGGTGTTTCTTCTTTCTTTTTTAGCATTACTTGAGCTAGTTTGGACTTTACTTCTATTTTTCTTATTTATTTAACTTTTTTTTTGGTTTTTTTCCTATGGTTGTTGAAGAAAAACATGGCATCGGCTTTTCAAACCGCTTGTATATTCATTTTTTATGAATATTGGTGGGGTACCTGTCAATATCACAGTCTCTTTGGTTGAATGAACACTTCAAAATGAACTCTTCTTTTGTCTGCGAAAGATTGGCTTGTTTAGTTTCCGAAAGGCCTCCTACTGCAAACATTAGATTTTGCTGTGCCTGATTCTTAATTGAAATTTCATCTTTCAATTCCTGCAAAATTACCTTCTCTATGTTTTTTAATGATATATATTGCAAGCTCTTAATTTTTGCTGAATATAATGATTTTATTTTTTCTAGCACTTAGGATCTGCAGTTTCTTTTATGAGACATCTCTTTAATTGTTTTTAGGTACTTAACTAGTCAAGTATTTTTTGATTTAGGATATGGAAGGTTTAGTAGCAAAAAAATCTTTCAATTTAACGACACTGGTCATTTTCCCTTTCCAACGAATATTTAAAAGTACTAAAAATTCTTTTTTAGTTGGATAATTGTCTAGATTTTTTCTTTCATGGTTTTTGGTCAATGCTAAGAAATGGTTTTCAACTTATAAGAAACATTCATACTTACTTCAAAGCCTAGAGCTTTTTTAACTTCAGGTGTTTGAGTAGTTGTTGGCAGAGAAATTGTTGGAAATGGTGTAGTTGTTGTGGTTTTCTTTTCTTTAGCTAGGATACTTTCCATCCTAGCAATAAGTTCTTCTGGTGTCACATGCAGATAGTAGTTTTCCTTGAGACATTTTCCGTAATTTACTTGACAACAGCATCGAGCTGCTCGAGCATACATTTGGCGCCTGGGTCGTTTTATAATTGTACTATCTAGTTCTGTAGGAGATAGTTTTTTTGAACAGTTACCTAATTTAACTGAGCATTCCGCGCAGGTATGAGTTTCCCATGTATAAGCTGAAAATGGAACATTTTAATTTTGGAAGAAGCTGTGCTTTTCTGTGTTTTTTTTTTTCTTTATCTAGAACTGTTGCATAAAATTTCTTGAGGGAATTTACCTGGAAAACACGGCCATGTAGTATTCCGTTTTAGGTCAAATTGGCAGATACATTCGGTGTAAAGTAGAGCTTCTAGCGGTTCTGTTGAATTTACTTTGTTGGCTGGAAAGCAGCTTTTTTGGTACCGTTTTCCAGTTACTGGGTCAAGCTCACATGCACAGGAAACATGTACTGGGTTATATCGTTGCAGTGGAAAATACCACTCTTCAGTTGCTCTTTTTTTACGAGAATGCTGCAAACCTACAAACCAGTGATTTATGTATTAAAAATTTATTTTTATGAACTAGCATTTGAAATTCTTTATTTGCTAAAAGCTTTAAAAGTTCTTTCGGCTAGTTAAACTTTTTTTTATCCATTGTCCGTTAGAAATCAAGGATCACTTTTTTTTTTGAGATGTAATTGCTTATGTTAGAGGATCGAAACAGATCTGGTAGAAAACAGATTGATTTAGCTTTCAATCAATGCGCTGTTGTCAAGAAAAGCGCCATAATTTTTGTAAAACTTAGTATTCAGGAGGCGATGATTGATGATTTTAAGAAAAACTTTGTGTGATGTTCAATATCTTATTTTTTTTTATTATTATTTTTGTTTTCCCTGTTTCATACCATTCTTAAACTTCACACTCGTATTCGTAGAAGCAGTTATTTATTTTTGAGTTTATTTAAATACATATGGAACACATGATTAGGTTTCATGGGATGGGATTACTTTTTTCGGAAGTTGTTTAACGTATTTTTCAATTCAACTTGGTAAAGTAAGTCTAACTTTATTCAGTGCTCTTGTCCTGCCGATTTTTCTCATTACACGAAAATAGTAGTAGTTTCCGCTGATTAATACTCAGGCTTCTTTATTTGTCAAAAAAAGTCAATGTTGTCACTTTATCGACTAAAGAAAAAATACCAGAAATTTATTTATAATAATTGAACTTCAAAGATTTTTAAATCTTGTTTTCGAACTGTTTTCGCTCGACTTTTGCTGAGGATCGTTCGGTGAATAACGAAGGTAGCAACTGATGTTGTGGGCATAGCTTGTTGTAACCACAGCAGTTGAACAGCAGTGTTTGTTGAAAACTGTTCTTATGTACTTTGAGTTAAAGTCTTTCTTTTAAATATATAAACTTTTTTTTTTAGAATTTTATAAAGAACAGTTATTAGTTTGGAGAATTAATGATTGAGTCTGTTCAGTGAATGAGAACCAAATTTCATTAAACTAATTTTTATTGTTAATTTTTACACTTAGGAATGCTAGTATTAGTTGTTGAAGGAGACAGAAACAGTTTTTTGGATATAGGTCATTAAATGAAATCTAAATTAATCGATCTGACTATCTGTTTTGACTAGCGATTATTTCTGGTGAATAATTTGTTTATTGTTAGCGACTGGGTAGTGAAATTTCGATTATAAGGTATCACTAAAAGCACCTTAAGACTTAACTAATGTTTTACTAGCATGAAATATTTTTAGAAAAATATGGGTAATTTAAGTTATAAACAGGGAAGGACTGTAAAAACTGCAAATAAGAGAATTAGAAGGTATCTGTTACCTTTATTTGTAGACTGTAAAGCGGCAGCTACACCATAACTTTCCATGCCACTTTTCATAGCATGCTGGTAGGCATCCATCTAGAAATTTCTTGATTTTCTCTCTCATATTTACGTCGAGTTGCAGTGCAAATACAAATAAGGTAGGAAATTTTAAGAAGAGGAAGGAAAGAAGTAGGAAGGGGAAGATTGTAAAAAAATAGTCTAACCGTTGCACGAGTCAGTGGTTCGTTATTGATTGCAGACATCTTGTAAGGGTTAAGATTGCACAGTGTTACGGAAGGGAATGGTGCATTTTCAAATTTGAGCTGAAAAATTAGAGAATTAAAAGTCAAGAAAAGTAAATTACTATTGTTGCTTAGATAGTATCAGTAATTGGACAAACAGTATACATCTGAGATTTTACCTATTTATAAAAGTAATAATTATCATTAAAGTTAGGGTGACTTACAATTTTTAAAAGTTCAACATTTCAAAGAAAAATGAATTAAGAAATTGTTCAAAATAGCAACAGCAAAAATTTTCAGTGAAATAAGCTGTTTTTCAACTTTTTTTTCTATTTTTTTAATGTAGAAAATTTGTAACTTATTCGGAAGCAAATTTTGTGTTTGTGATATAGGAATTGGTGCCACTTTGAATAATGTGTTTAATTTTTTTTAGCTGGAGGGATGGGTAAATGCCTGAATGGTCTTTTTTACAGATGTGTTCTTATTACATCGGGATCTATGTTGAACAAGAGTAAAAAGAAAGGAAAGCAGAAGAGGGATGAGATCGTTCAAAAAATTTAATTCCAGTTTTGGAAGTATCGTAGAGCTTTTTGGTTAAATTTTTTTAATTTTTACCTATTTTTTAAGACTGCACTTATGCTTTTTTCTACTCTTTCTTTTTACATTTACACTTACTCGTACACCGAAGGAAAAACAAACGGCTTGCAAACGGTGTGTGTTAAAGCCAGTACTAATCTAATCTAATGAGTTAAACTTGATTTAGCATAGTCTGACTGAAAAGGAAGAAACTTTTTAGTTCGTTTATTGGCTTTTGATTGCCAAATTTATGTGCTTGTCTTAAAAAGTTATTGGTTTTCAATCGAAAGATTTGGTAGACGAAAGTTAACGAAATGAATAAGTATAGAAAGAATGGTTTTTTAGTTTTTTGCAGTTATTTCTTTTCGGTTTTTTATTAATTTTTAACTGCTGGTTAACATTGATTGGCAACTTTTTCTGCGTTATTTAGAATAAGGTTTATTAGAAGCGAGAAAGAAGAATGAAATTTTTTTATTTTTTTATATGTTTTTTTTCAGGTTTTTTTTAATTAAAATTTCGCAGTTTTTGATTTAGTAACTGAGGGTATTAATAATAGTTTGGTGACTGTAGCTACAAATCTTGTTATTATATCAGTAGTATTCATTAATGGAAATATGCTTTGAGCAAGTCTGTTTTCTTCTAGTTTTTTTGAGTTGCTTGATCAGGCAGTTATCTTAGAATATCGACGTTCTCACAAAAGTGGATTTTAAAAGTTTTTTGCAGCAGAAACTGAGCATGAAAATATTTGCAGTTTATTACAAACATGTTAACGGCGAAAAAAAAAAAAGAAATGTTAGAAATCAAACTTTGATTGAA